TCTGACTGATATCAAGCCGTGGTCTAACCTGAAACAAATGCAATCCCTACAAACTAACTCTTGAAAGTTCTTTGATGAGCTTTAAGACCGAAAATTACATCCAGATTACAGAGTTTGTGGGATTAATTTCACTTGTTAGATTTTCGTCATGAACCAACACCAGTTAGAAAGAGATTATTGAAAACCAAAGGGTACTGGACATTTATCTCATCCTATTGCTTCGGACTCTTCAGCAGTCGAGAGTAGATACGATGCCACCAGAGGTCGAATCCCCAAGCTTTCAGGTTTCAAGACCTAGCTCGTTAACCTTTCAGCCATTTGGACCATGAATTCTGTTTTTTCCATTTTGCGACATCTTGCTACCTTCAACCACCTAATCTCCCTGATGAGCACCCTAGTGGTTACGACTTTACATTGCAGCTTCAGGAAATCCACTAAGTAGACATTATCAGTCATCTAATGATTATCCAGTGCTCCCTGTTGGTTTTCAATGATCCCTCTAACCAGTGCTGATTCGTGATGAAACTCTAACAATTGAAAGAAATAAAACACCATCATCATCATCATCGTCGTCAGCGTATATAAGACTGATTAAGTGATCCCCACATGTTTCCGGTGTTAATGAGTTTTATCTGCGTAAAAGAACGATTGAATTGTGAAGCTTTCATTATCCATCCAGATAACATCTTCAGCCCTAACTCCATGACATGATACATAATTTTTGTCATTTACTGTTAATATCCACAAAATGAGAAATGCCAGTGATAAACGCCACTAGTAAATAAGTTTCCATTGGGGAAATAACTAGGCATGTGGACTGTTTGACAGCGGAGAGTTAAATACTGACAATGCAAAACATATAGAATAATAACAGCCATAATCTCTTACTCCATATATATATATATATATATATATATATATATATATATATATACTCATTCCAAGGTCCTCTTAATTCAAATAAAAAGCATTGCCTTTAAAATTACCCTCACAATGACACAGCCAAACGTATTCATTGCTCTTTTATTTATGCATTTTTACATATATATATATATATATATATATATATATATATATATATATATATATATCATTAATAGTCCCGTATAATAATATTTCATTGAATGAAGTAAAATAATGGTACCAGTAGTGGTTAATCTGTCAACAAGGATCGATTACCGACCACTTCAAATTATAAATCATCCATCATTCTTTTTTTTAAATGCGATGTTTATGCTCAGCTGAGTGAGTCTAGGCAAATTTAACAGTCAACCAAACATAAGCGATACTAGTCATTAAACATTGACAATAATAAATGATTGAAGACATTCGGTCGAAAGCCTTGCTTCATCTAGATGTCTTGTTTGTTGTTTGATGACACTTAGTCATAGCCTGCAAGGCGCATATGCAATCCCTTTTGAGATGTATCTTGGCTGTCTGCTTAAAACTCGGGCTACCGAAAACTTCCATCTCTCTATTTCATGTTTCTTTCTCTCCTTCAATTATTTTGAATCGATTAAGATATAACCTCTAGTGGTATTATCTACTCTTGTGAGTATTTAAAATGTTTACAAGCGCCTGATTCTCATGTTTCGAGTAAACTTGAGGAAAGACCTGATTGTGTGTGGCAGCGTGTTCCAGTACATGAGAGAACTGTCCTTCAGTGTCAAAATATACTTCTTAACATCTTACAATCGGCTTTCAACTAGACATCATGGATTTCTCGACGGAGCCAATCAGATATCTCATAATGGAATGGGTTGTGCTTCAGTTCAGAGGGCATTGTATCACATGATATACTGTCAATTAATATTTTACTTGAAGATATTGTATGAAGGAAAATATCATATAATAAACTCCACTGAAAATTGTGTATATTATATAAATAAGGTACAGAATAAAGATGTTATTATTACTTTATAAAAAGATTCGAATTCACTTCTCCCAGTTAGCGATGTATTCAGAGACATTACTACAGAAATATTCGCGCTCACTATTGACCTCCAAAACACACGACACCAGTTACATACTTACTGCTACCTAGTGTAAATCGCAGTATCCATTACAGCTTTACATAGGTGGTCAATCATGAGCCTGACTAGTTCAGTGGTAACGCCTTTGACTACAAGATTGGGTCGATGCGGATTCGAATCTCAGCAGGGTGAACCTGAGCTTCTTTATGATTGCAGATATGCCTTGCTGACTGGTGAGTATCGACAAGCACAAAATCTGAGTGGTTCAAGAGTTCCTGCAGATTTCTTTCAACCATCCAATAAAAGCAATTCAGAGTGCTGAGCAATGGCGATTCACCTATAAGGGTAGTCACATTGTACACTTGACTGAGAATAGAATTCAGCCTGCACCAACACCAAGGACTAGACACATAACACTAGTTACTATCTGCTGGCAACTCAAAAGTTGATGAGGATGATGATATCAATAGTAATTTGTTTTTAGCTTATTACTGCTCAATAAAGTTGGTTTTCGAATTATATCATAACTAAAACTGAGTTCACTTTAGAACACGTGAGGTCAGTTAGCCTCAGATAAGAATAAACAACTTGTTTAAAATAGAATAATAGGATGATAAACGGTTATGTTTATCCATGATAAGAAAACTTTTTAAATTTCAGTCTTACAGTGAATTAATAGTGGTTTTTGAAAGTGACAAGACGAAAAAATTCTCAGAAGTAATTTTTGTATTTTCCCACCCAACGGATTAATTGTCGTGTTTCACCCTTAAATAAGAATTTAAGAGTGGTTACTTAACTATTTCTAATTTCCCCCAACCCAACATTAACTTTAGTTAGAGAACCAATAGAAACCCAGAGAGTACTTAACAGCGACATGCTTCCTCCTAGTTCAGAACTCTTCAGCAGTACACATCCATGGTCTTATCGAGTATCGAACTCAAGACCTTCAGGAAATAAGGCAAGCTCGTAGCCCATTTAGCCATTGAGACTGAATCCAATGGCCCATGAGTTTTAATCTTTTGTCAGTTCACTATACAACATATAGCCCTAGGCCAGCTGATATCGTTGGTGAGTATTAATTTCCACATCTGAGGTGGTGGACATTTTACGTGTAATGAAAAAGGGCTAATGTGAACAGCATTCAAGTTAATGATTTTTCAGGAAGATCACAGAGATTTCAAAAACAAAAATAAAAGAAAGCAAATTAAATGTCTCTTCATGATGACATATCTGTATTGGAAAATGTGAAACTCAGTCTGTCATTTTACCACTTCCGATATAAGAAACCAAGGTTTGCTAGACAAAATTAAAATCTCTATGTTGACTGTTGTAAACATGTAATTAAAGGGAATAAACAACTGAATATTTTATTTTGATTCAACTCATCCACATATATAAATGTGAATTCTGCTCAGACTAGTTACTGTTCAAAAATATGATAAAAACCTTTTTTGGCTATTTATATTGACTGATTTTCGTTAACTCTTTCCATATAATATCGATTTTTACGGTTATTTAAATATTTCATATACATGCATACATATAAATTTTACCATCGAGAAAGAAAACAGGAGACTCTAGTATTTCATTCTTTCTTAGACGTCCTTATGACTAGAAAAGAGGCCAAAGTACCAACAGTTCTGAAAAAGGCCTTATTCTTACAACTTTAATTTCTCGGTGATAACATCAGTGAGATATGAATACAAGGTCTAAGGAATACAGCGATAAAAAGAGCATTCAGTGCTGTTGAATTATGCTGTCTTCAAAACCACCAACCTCTAATTTACATTCGGGAATTAAAGATAAACTTCTTAATATCGCCTTTTCTATGTATACATCTACCAATTTAATTGCTCCTGTGGAGGCAGTTACATAGGCCGTACAATTAGGCATGTTTATCGTCGAATTTCCGAACATCATCCTGCATAATAGTTAAGTAAAGGACAAATAAACTTCATTCATAGTTCTATCCTATCTCATCTCGTGGATACAGAACACAAGATTGATGTTAACAAGGCGGTTTTCAAAGTCATCCTACCGTATACCGACTAATCTTAACTTCACCTTAAGAGTTCATCTACTTCATATTGCTGAAGGTGTTGGGAGTCCATATTGAGAAACTTTACTTATGTATGCAAAAGAAGTTGGTTTAGACACTGTCTTTACCTTGGCCATCACGGCTTTAACGATCCTTGATTCTTTTGTAGAAATTTCCTTTATTTTATTTCATATTCTATTAGCTGTTACACTTTTATGCTTATTACAACTTAAGCCTCTTTCTTCATCTGTAATTTCATTGATCTTGCTTAACAAATCGATAGCATTTCAAAAACACATTAAAATTGCTAATGACAATTATGACAATAATATTCTGTGTAGATAAATACATAATATATAACTGTAGAGGCAGAAGAGGAAGTGATCGAAAAGAATACTCTGTGTTCAAATTTTTCTTCGTTATGTGTAAATAATTGTTTTATACTGCTATCATGTGAACGATGAAAAAGAAGAATTTACAGAATTTCATACCATACCTCAAATTATTTATTGAAGATTGAACCTATCTAACTGACATTGAACACGTTTGCCAATTTAAAAATATGGCGCGTAAATCGAATATGTGCGCATAGTTACATACATACATACATTCGATATTAAAAACAGGAAATAATAAATGTATTCTGCTATATACACATTACGTAATCTCCCATTTTTTAGAAGGAAAAATACATATTGAAATTGGCTTAACTTTGAGACATCAAATTCAGTCTATTGTTTAAATCATACAAATGTTTACACCTGTATTGCATTGTTGATAGGCATATCTTACAACCATACTTATTGGCTATCACGTGAATATGCATATTTTTGAAAAAAGCACATATAGAAATATCAATCAATATGACAAATTAAAACAAAAGACAAAAATTCAAATATTCGTTAAATGTTCAACATATATTCAAATGATGATGATAAAAATTTAAAAAAATGATTGGTCAGACTGTTTGTTTGTACTCATTGACTTACCAGCTATTTCAACTTGAAATAAGAAAACATATCTATCTGGTGAACCAGGCCAGCTAATTTCACAGGTATAAAAGTTCACATGATGTACATCAAAATTATTGATTACTAATTTCGAATCTTGATCAGCAAATTGAATATCTCTTAGTGTTGAACTAAAATGAAATTGTATATTGTTTTTTTTCAAATTATTTTTTGAGTAGAAGAAAAAAATATGCATGTGTTTTATTAAAGAATTTGATGATAGCAAAACAAATGTGATTATTGTAGGCTCAATTTAAAATAACTATATATATATATATATATATATAAAGACAGTGTAACTTGATGAAGCAGTAACCTGAAACCCTGAGGACTGGTTATACCAATACGAATGACCTTCTGACTGACATAGAATTCTACCTATACTACCGTTGATCTCATTGGGCTAGGTCAGCCGCTCATTCAACTCTATCCAGTCTGTCATATTGATTTATATTCTTGTCATCCTTACAAAATAGGCAAGCTTGACAAATAGAGTGTCACTTCATGTCATTAGAAAGGGGAATATCCCTAAAATACCTCATCACATTTGTATAGATTTGTAATTCTTCCCAGAAGATACAATCTAAACGAACATGATTCAGTTTATTCTTCAAACTTCATAAATTATTATTAGATGGTTGGAGGCGATCTACAGGAAGGTGTGACCTTGCAGCCTTGGGGGAACTCTTGTCTCCTCTGAGATTCGAACCTATGTTACCCGTGCTGCATAGTAGGAGGCGTTACCCACCCTCAATTATTCAGGCTTGCAATCGACCTTCTCTACAGAGTCTTAATGGGTACTTTGATTGACCATTAGATGGTAACCAATGTGGTGCATTTAGTCCTTGGTTTAGTTCAGATTGAATTTTGTCAAACATTTGAAGATGTTAGGATTAAGATTGTCGGAATACACTTCAAATTAAATTTTTTTATACACACCAATCCATAGACAATTAAGCTTTTCGACTGTAGAACTAAGCGAATCTGATCCAAATCCTCAAGGCGACAGTAGTTCATTTCCAAGGTTGCAAATACGGTGTTCTGACGACTGTCAGTAAACATGAAGCAGTAGATTCCTTGAATCACTAAACACCACTTCGATTTTGAAGAGATTCTGATATATATATATATATATATATATATTCGTATTTCTGCTAACTACTAATTATACAGTACTCAGACAGTTAGTCAAGTCAGTTGCAAAAAAATACACACTGAAACCCACACTGTTTTGAATCACAAACTGACTGATAGAATTCAGTCTGCACCAGACAAAGGACTAGATGGATCATATTAGTTACTGCTACCTTGTGTCTGATGAAAATTTCATCAAATGCTTCATAATTCAAATCCGACAGCTGCTGAATAATTTTTTAAACAGTTAATTTTTGTCAAATTCCTAACATGGATTAACAAGTGGAATATAAAACTTTTCATCACAAACCATTGTTCCAAGATTTTAACTTTGTTCACAGATTGACATGAGTTGGAGAATCACTGAAAACCCTAAGGTATTGATCACCTTTCCGTCCTAGTCTAGAACTTTTCAGTAGTACTTAATCATGAGTCGAACCTAAAGCACTTAAATTACATAGGCCGGCTGGTTGAATATTCAGGCATTGAAACAGAATCCAATGGCCTCTAAATTCTAACTTCTGTCAATTTTCGTTTTATAGAGCTACCTCAATTGCCTCCTCATAATTTACTTTACTCATATTTAGAAAGCAAAAGCACCGAGCGAAGAAATATTTACTTTTCAATTAGATCATCAACTCTGGCTCTACTCAACTCATCCAGCATGGTTAAGCAAAGGACAAACAAGATCTATTCGTAACTCTGTTCCTTGCAGATAGTGAGCATAAGGTTTACGTTAATACTGCATTTAAAATTATTTGTCGCATTCCTACTAATCTTGATTTTGTTTTACAAGTTCGCCTTCTACACACAGCTGAAGGCATAGGAATCCACCTGAAGAAGCCAAACGTTTGTGTTCAGAAGAAATTTGTACAACCACTTTCCTTACCTCGGCCATCGTTACGTGAATGTATAAGCCGGACTATTTCTCTACCCCACTCCTAAATCTTTAAAAATTATGATTGTCCAAATTATTTAATTATTTTTCTGACTACTTCATTTTTAATTACATGTTGTCTTTAAAAATCTATTGCGTAATCAACTTGAGCACTCGCTTATTCCTTAATTAATCTTCATTTTTTCAAAATTAGGCATTATGCAATCCACGTGTTGTAACCATTTCTGTCTTTTAACTGTGTGTATTAATTTTCTTCGTTAATTATCACCCCGCTGACATGTTGATACTGGGTAATTATTGTTAACAAACATTTGTGCCACTTGACTGGTCTATTGTTATGTATTGTAATGAAAATGCAATGCATATATATTAGAGTGAAGACAGAGATGATGATCTATTTGAAAAGTAAATATTTCTTCGCTCAATCCTTTTGCTTTCGGTAGCAGTGGTGTTTATTTTTAGGAGATGAAGTTGCTAGCCTTATGCCTGACCTTCCTTCTTTACCAGTCTTATTACTGGCTTAGTGAGGTGAAGGAGTGCGTCCGCCGGGAATTAAACCCCGAATCAAATGAGGCGTGGTGGCGAGCATTATATATATGTAAAAATTTATTCCATGTTAAATGAAACACTTATAAATTCAATGCTTACACAGGTTGTTGTTGTTCTCCTAAACGTGGCATTAATCCCCATACGGTAATCGGTGTAATCGCATCATTTGATTTCTGTACACCTGGTTGAGGACAGACCAACTCAACTGAACGACCACGCATAACAAATTTAGAAAATTCATGATTTGATAAATCTGTTATCAATTTTGGTGGATTATCATCTAAACGAAGTAGAAGACAGAAAAGTAAAAAAAAAAAAGAATAACAACTAAATATGCTTGTAAAACTAAAAACAATACTGCCTTAGGCAAATTGAGAACATATGACAACTAATCGCTAAAGGCAAATACATCAGGTTTATGGCATGATTTCAAAGCATGCTTCATTTTAATAATAATAATAATGACCAATAAATCTGTGAATATCAGACTTGATACCAAAGTTGGCTATAGAAGCCCAAAGGCGGCAACCATTACAACAATGTGAACTGCTATAAAAATAAAGTTCTTGTGGAGTGAATTCAAAGAATGAATGATTCCAAGAGGAGGCAAGAAAAACACCTTGCAGGTGCAAACTCAGTCGAATAGTTTCTGGAGAGTCAGTTTGTGGGGATTTCATCAAGAAGTGGTTTCAACTAGAGTACCACTGGGAAACAAAGAAGTACTGGATAACTGTTTCATCCTGGTTTAGGCTTCTTTGGAAATACTCACCCTCCGGCGTTCGAATTCAGAACCTACCAGTCTCAAGGTGATCTCGTAGACCATTCAGCCAGACCTAGTGAACTAGACTGTTCACGACTTCTTACCAGAATTTCAGACATCTTCGTTCTGTAACCAGTCAATAGCAAGCATTGAATACATTTATCTTTCAACAACGGCGATGATGATGTATAATCACATAGCAATCAATAGGATTTGAGTTGTTCTCAAGTTAAAAGTGTTTTTTTTCTGTAAGTTTGAAGATTCATTGTATTTTAATGAAAATTTGTCTAGTTCATTGGTGAAACAAACAAAACTGACAGCTTGTGAAATGTAAACTTCCGACAGTCAGTTCATAAATATTACTTTTATTAGTCTTGTTTAAATGCTGATCATTATATTGCTATTGATTTATAATTCTTCCCTATTGCTTACACTCCAAGGGAACATAACGTTCTTGAAGTTTCAGTGATGGTGAAAAAACTAGCTTCACACCCACCTTTCTCTATTTCTTTTGGTCTACTTACGGTCCGTGTATTAGACAAAATTTAGTCGTGCATCAGTCAAAAATGAAAGCACGACCTCTCTTACAGGGGACTTGCGAGTGTTCTACCGCTGAAAGACTGACGCAGAATGTCGCCATTGTAGGCATAAATGATTATAACACTTATATGAGACTTCAAAAAAACACTTAAAATTCAAATAATTTTTGCTGTTCATCTGTATTTTTCTGTGTGTATGAGTGCATTTCAGTGTTTTCACCTGTTTAATTAGTGTACATTCACTGGAGAAGCATTTCAAATAAGAGAAATTTGACTGGTCATTTTAGGTTTGAAGAAAATTAAATGATAAGTTGATGACTACAATATCATCAAAGGAAAGAGTGCTAGGATGTTCACACCAACGATGCACGTAGTCCGGGTTCCTCTCCCGCTTAGTTTACTCGTCAACAGTGAACCCACTTAAGAGGGAAGGTTGAGGCTAGCAACCCTACGCCGTAGAAATACAATACTAATGCTGCAGAAGCTTTAAAATCTCGAAGTCTTATGAATTTTCCATTCAGAATTTAAGGAATGAATTCAGACATAAAAATACTCAGTTATGACTCCCTTCAATTATCAAAATAGTGTTGAATACATCTCAGAGGCTATACTAAGCATACAGAAACATAATCTTAGTAAAATTTTAAATACAGTTAACTGAAAACCCATGAATTCTTTAGAAAAACAAAATATCTAAAAATAAATGACCTTTCTGTAAAAACTAGACAGCAGTTCGGTGGTCATGTTACCGGCATTTCACCTCTGTCTATCTACACATGATCTTAGACTGCTTCACCTGTTTTCATTGAAAAAAATCTTCTACCTACCACATTAGAACTGCTATATGTAATTCATATTTTTTGTTGGTATGACAGTCGCCCGGTTCGTTGAATCCAGATATCGATACCTGTATATCAGTGAGTGTTAATATCGTCTCATTTCGATGACCAGCTCTAGCTGTATTACACTATTAGTCACCAACGAATAAGTGACGCAAGGTTAACAATCGTTCAAAGAGCTACTGATCAACGGAAATAAAGCAAGAATAACAGTGGTCTGTGCAGAATCATATGGTACCATCATTTATTTTATTTCTTTGGCTTCTCATCACCTGCTGCTTACAGCCTAAAGAGATTATTATCATTATTAAGTTCATGTACAGGAAAGTTTTAACATACTTGCACATTTCACATGATGTCAGTTGACAGGAAATTCCGAACTTAATCAACATTTCTCAGAAAATTATGCCTTTATAGTTTTACACGAGGAATTCAAGTTCGAGTTCTTATGTTAACTCCAACTAAGTGTGCAAATTTACGTTTACCTGAGGGAGCAGCTACATTCAGAGAACAAAAAGAAGGGCACACCTCCGATTTTTTGAATATGTACCGAAAAGCCTACGTCTGAGGGGAAAAACGCCTACAATAGTACCATTACCACGCATCTCCTCGATAAGGATCATCAGGTGGAAATCGCGAAATTCTTTAACATTATCAATAGACAAAAAAGCTCAATCTTCCTCAAGTTCGCCGAAGGAATCTCTATCAAATGCCTGAAACCCGATTTATGTGTTCAGAAAGAAGCAGTTATCAGTTTTCCCTTGCCTCGTCCTGGTACTTGGATATCTTCAGTCTATCTGCCTTTCATTTGATACCATAATCTTTGGCATTTACGGCGAAGTTAAACTTTCGACACCACTAACTACCAATCAGCGAATTATCCAATGAGATTCACGAACGATGTCGAATTATCCAATGAAGTTCACGAACGCAGTTCAATGTTGTATAGCGCTTGATTCATTTCTAATGCGTGACCTTACAAGGCTACTGTTGCAATTCGAGGCGGTTAGTGTTTTCCTGTATTTCCTGGATTTGAGTTGCTCCGGAAAGAGCGAATTTGTTTGTGTGGTGGTATCATGACTTTAAAAAGCTATACCAAATCAACTGATGGGTTTGTTCATCGTTGTGCTACATGTTTGAAGCTTTTTTTTCTATAAATATACATTTCCATTCATCATATGTGCCTCTTCAATGTGATTGGTTCGTTCAAGGTCGTTTGCTGATTGGTTGTTAGTGGTGTCTAAAGTTTAACTTTGCCGCATTTACCTCACCCCCATCCTTTTGATATAGTTTAATTTTGTTTGTCTCTTCTTTCCATGATTTAACTGAACTCAGTAAGTTGTCAGTCAACGAATTAGTTACTCATGACTTTACGTAACTCTCGTCTTTATTACATATCTCCTTTACCATTGTGCGCATACATTCAGTTTGTTTAAACTTGAACCGCCTGTGTAATAGCTATATGCGCGTAATTTTCTGAGCACTGTTCATTAAGTTCGGAAATTCCTGTCAACTGATATTATAAAAAAGTTACAAATATGTTAAACCTTTTCTGTACATGAACCTCGTAATAATAATCTCTTTAAGTTATAAGCAGCAGGTGATGAGAAGCCAGAGAAATCAAATAAATGATGATACCATATTATTCTGCACAGACCACTGTTATTCTTGCCTTATTCAACAGAAATAAGTCTTCACAACTAATCATTAAAACAGTATTCATTATGCTGACAGAGACTTGAAGTAAGTGGAGGTAACAAGATATGAGAATATTGCAAAATAGAATAGTCGAGAATATCAACAGTATTTGAGGGAATAGTTACAGTCAAAACTTGGGATTCTCACCCTCGCAGCCTTCTACCAGCGGTCCTAAATGACTTTACGAATCACTGCCAAGTCGATAGCTGATAAATCTAGCTATATGAACACTACAACTGAGATATATTAATTCACATCACTATGACGATGATGGTGATGAAAGTGCTGTTTAACTTGAAAAAGATTACTTCTCATCATCAAGGAGAGTGGTGTTTTTTAATATTGTCCAGTGAGTAATTAATAATGCCGAGCAATCAAAAGCATAAACTTTCGTAGTCTATGTTAAAATGTCAAACTATAAAGAAACGACCGAATTCGAATGTCTTTTCTATTCATCGCTATGTTGTCTAGACATAGTCAGCGACAATAAAAGCCCGCCCAGACACATTCACATACACACACACACACACAAGAACAAATCAGTTAAAAGCTTAACATACATATTTACTGACAGAAAGTCACTTTACGTGATATTAATGAACATAAGAGATACATTTGAAAAAATATACAGTCCAGTTTTAAAATAGTAACAATTATAATAACTTAATTCGAATCATTCACTGTGATGATTAAGACAATAAAATATTTAAATTTTTAAATTTGACTCTAATTTTTTGTTTTAGTATTTTATTCAGTTAAAAAGAGAGAAGTGGACACATGAAAAGTAGTGAGTGATTTTCGCTGATGTGACATTAACGAAATATTTACAATTTACTCAATATGATACTTGTGTAAAAATGAAGCGAATTTCTGGAAATAAGGTTAAATGCGCCTTAGAATCGTTATGTGTAGGCACACAAGAGCATAACTAAAAGCAGTGTACTCTATGCCATCAATCCTAAATATTCTAGTGGGCACCTTGCGCCTCATTCGACAAGCTAAACGAAAATGGGATGTGTCAAGTGATGCATAACGGAAAACTCAGCGAAACCTTTGAAACAGGTGTAAGACAAGGCTCCCTGTCTACTACTGCCGATGATAGTGTTAACTGTAGTGAATTTGATCATGTAGAATATCTTTCATGGGGAACGAGACGTGAGGAATACACTGAACTGATAAGAAGACTCTAGAAGATCTCGACATCACCAGATATTTATGTCTGATGACGTATAAGTTCGAAGACCTACAAGCGGAATCGAAACGGTTGACAGAAGAGGCAGGGAGAGAAGAAAAGATTTCAGGTGAACACAGAGAAGACAAACGTGATAAGGAAAACAGACTAACCAACCACAACGTGCACCAGGCACTGGAAAAGGGAATAAATCTGAAAGCGGTCACCACCATCACTTATCAAGGCAGCAACGTTTCAAATACAGCAGACAGA